ATGCTTCTGATTACAATTGTGGGAAGTTGTGATGGACAGATACACAGCCATTCACAATCAAACCACAAAACCAAACATAAGTTTATCTGTGAGTTTTCACATTTCTTGGTTTTCTGTGTGGTTTTGGCCACATTTCCTCTCACCTTTCTCTTGCAACTGTCCCTCATACCTGAACGCTAACACCTACACTGTAGCTACGGATATTTCACAAGTCCTCTTTATCTCCTTTTAGTGTTGATTCGGACGCCAAATTGGATTACGCAAACACAACAACACAACCTCCAGGTCCAGGATGAGTTAAGCCCTCCAAAAAATAACTGTGGTTTTAGTTAGAATGAAATATGTGTGTGAAACTGTCAACTTCATCATGAGAACAAAACATGAGGCCTAGCTGTTGATGGTCAGTAAATATTGGAGTTTCACTGTGTGAGAGTGTTGCTCGAAGAAAAGTTCCCATTAAACAGATACAACATGTTACCAGAGAACTACACACAGTGTGCCTGTCAAATCCCTGGGAAGTTCTCATGGTTAGAAACTTGATAAACGCCTCTTTGTACGGTTATTTAAATGCTTGACGAATTTCAATAATTGTGTCAGTTTTTAAATCTTATATTAAACCTTGAATTAAATCAGGGTTAAGACACAAAATATGTCACATTGTTTCACTTGCAGGCAAAATGAAAACAGTATACAGTCCCCATTAAATTTTTCTCTTATTTAATTTAATTTCATTATTTTGGCATTAGTTAAACCGTTTGGATTTTTAAAACAAAATCAAAGTAAACTCTATTTTCAAAGTGGTCAGTGTTTGCTTTTTTTTCCAGAAGCAAATATAAAATGCTTTCACTGTTAAGTCTTCATAGCAAATTGTGAAAATCATTGGATTTAAAGTGTGGTAAAAGATCAACATGAGCAAGAAAAATCAAGCAATATGTAATTACTGCCATTTTAGTCTCATCAGTTATTGCCTTAAAAATATTTTATTTATTTCTACTGTGTTAAAAACATTGAAAAAGAAAAACATAGGGTGCCCAGTTGCTGAGTGGGTAGAACAGGCATCCCATATACAAAGGCACTGTCCTCACGGCAGCAGCCGTGGGTTAGATTCCAGCCTGCAACCCTTTGTTGCATGCCAACCCACCTCTCTCTCCATTTAACACATAGGGCTCTAGTTTCGCAGACCAGGCGAGGTGGGGGCCAACTGGGTGTGGCCAGGCGGATTTTGCAAGTTTGGCACACCGTGCGCGCTGGCCCAGCTACTCCTCTTTCCCACCTCCGTCCCTCCTACCTGCGCAAGTCGAAAAGAGGGAGGAGAGAAAGCATGGAGTGGGTTTTACACACATCACACCAATCAAATGAGCCCCTCTCCTCGCCCTTAAATGCGCCTTGCGAAGGTGTAATGAGAGTTTACTCAATTCGCCATTGCAGAAGAGAGCAGCAGCGTCAGACAGCCAAACTTCTCCCAGGAGGAAACTGATGTTTTGGTCCGAGAGGTCCAAGCTCGCAGTGTCCGAATATAGGGAACTGCGAGCAGACCTCCACGGGCTGATGATGCAAAGGTGGCCTGGGAGGAGGTCACCACAATTGTAAATCAATGTTGCATTTCTCTCGTGCGCGCTCTCTCTTTCTCTCTCGCAGTCTCACTCTGTTTCTTTTCTTTTGACTTTTCTAAGATGACAGATGCTGAATATATACTCCCTATCTGATGCTGTGGCTGTTTGTGGTTGGCTGAGAGGGATGTGAACTCATTAGTTTGCAGCTGTGTTAATCAAATCAGGTTGGGTTTCCATTACGCGTGCCAAACGGTGCCAATCCCCTTTGATCTGACATCATATGTGACGGGACAGTCGGTATAGAGATACATTTATGTGCTGATTGCAGATAGTTGCAATGAATAGTGGTTTTGTGGCTATTTATTTTATTGTTAATGTGCCTGACATTCTGGAAACCTGCCTGTGAGGTTTTGGTGATGTGTGTGCGCACTGTCCGCCGGTCAGCCAAACGTCGGCTTACACCGGCTGCGCTCCGCCTGCACTGACAGTAGACCTGGTTTCAGATGGTGAGCTTTTAGCACACCTTCGGCGAAGCCTTTTGGAACGAAACTGTCACTGCGCCAAGCTGGATCTGTCGACACCCCCCTGCTGCGCCGCCACACCCATCTCAGTGCACCTCGGTCTGCCAAACTACCAAACTGAGCGCGCCTCGGGTTGCGCTGCTCGAAACTAGTTCTGCGAGGGATTCGCCACCCTGCGCCACCCTGTGCAAACTAGAGCCCATAGACTATCCTATCTAATATAGGCAAAATGCCAACAAAAAAGACCAATCGCCAATCTCATTTTTTCATACTCAATGAATGCTGCAATGAGTGCAAATAGTTATTTAAAAAGCAACAAATCACAAGTAAACATTTAAAAATGAGACAAGAAATACACCATTTTGAAAGAAAAGCAAAAACAAAACTTTTGAAAAACCTGAAAATGGTTCACCTCAAAATTCAAACTCCCTCCTCCTTCAAGATAAATCTTTCAAACTGCATGTCTGAGTGGTAGCACTAATCCTCTTCATACTTTAATTAAAAGACATGTAAAAAGAATATCACTCAAAGCAACTAACATAATTGTATTTTGCATCATGATAATCTATAAAGCCTTAATATAATAAGAGCATAAAAAGTCACACAATGGTTGCAAACAGACAGAACATGATGTCAGAACGACACGTTAAACATATTTGAAGGTTATCCAATTACAAAATTGTTACAATTATCAGCTGTGAAATTGAAGCAAAGTAAATGTTTACAACAGTGTAACAAACAAAAATGATGTTAATTTTTAATCAGCAAATCCAGCAGATGTTAATTTCTCACTAAGGTCCTGACATCAGCGTAGGTCGTCTCTCCCTCTGCTGCTTTTACATTCCTTCAGTCTGCTCGGCCAGTTTTCCTCTTGGTGAAGGTCGGTGCAGAATAAGCCAACGAGTCCTCGTCTCTCTGAGGAAATATATAGAAAAGTATAATGAGACGACAGATTTTAATCTGTAGGTATGTCGGGGTAAAAATATGCCAATAACTTTTCCAGCTACATCTTTTCTTTATATACTTTACCTGCTGACTAGCAGCATTTGTTTGCAGAGCGGCAGCAGCTGTATCATGAAATCAAACAAAGATTAAAGATAAAAGATGCTGTTTGGTAATTTACACAAATCATTATTCTAAATCCTGTGAAGTTAGATTTTGGACTGATGTATGAGAAGCTTTAATTACCATTGCAATGATTACAAGTTTTCTTCTTGATGGTATAAATCAGGAAGGCAATAACAGTCAGACTTAAAGCCAAAGCAGCAAATAACAGAAACAGAAGTGTGTTGGCCTTCTGCAGATCCCACATGTTGAGCTCTGAAACAACATCAGGAGCAAATAATGAAAGTTAATAGCTTTTCTGACAAGATGTTACAGTATAATGGAAACTAAACTTTTGTAATACATTATTTTAATCACTTCTACTGGATTCAAAATTAATGATTATAAAAGATTAATATGGAAATATTCTGCACTTACCTTGAATGTCCACTTTTGCTCCATTTCCAAATAATATCTCTCCACATGTGGCCACAGCACAGTAATAAGTCACGGCATCAGAGGAGCTGACGTCCTTAGAGAAGCTGTAGATACATTTCTGTGGAGAGTGAGCTTCAGGACTCTTCTCACATCCATCACTGTTTCCATGACTGTAAATCAAACTTGGATGAGATTCATCTGATGCAGCTCTGAACCAATAAACTCTGTGTTCTTCTGGACATGTTTTCTTCTCAGAGTCAGAGAGGACTGAACACTGCAGAGTCACTGAGTCTCCTGGACGGACTGGATCAGATGGAAAGTCTTGAGTGACGGCAGTGATATCAGGTTCTGGTCCTGGAAAATGTAAAGATAAAATGACATGTTTTACTCACTTTAATAAAATTAAAAGTAATGAAAATTTTAAATTAATATGCTTTAAACCTTTTCTATACAATATGGAGACATAATTTGACTTATAATGAGTTGTGGAAACACATATACATGTAGAAAAATCATATTATGTAAACTGATGGTAAACATGTTGGACTAAAGCATGGTTATTTTTTGTCAAGTAATTTAAAATGTCGATTTACCTTTAACTCTCAGAAGTGTTGATTTGGAAAATGTCATGTCCTGTAGATTTACTTTTAAACAGTAGTAAAGTCCAGTATCACTCAGCTTTGTCTCATGAATATGCAGAATAAATGATCCAGGCTCTTGTTTTGCTGTAATGCGAGCAGTCTTGTTAACACCTTTAGAATCAAAGACAAATGTTCCTCCCAAGAATTCAGGTGTTTTTCCAGAAACAAGCCTGATCCAAAAGAGGGTATCATAGGACTCAGATGTCTGGCGAGTACAATTCAAAGTCACATCATCTCCAACTTCAACAGTTGTCGTTACAAAGACGTGATCGTCTGTGCATCCTAAACATAAAATTAAATGGAGCAGTGATTAACAACAGAGAAAGAAAAATGTACACACTGTACTAAATTACTGTAAGAACATAATATTTTAAATGTATATCTGGAGTAAATCTGACTTCTGTGAATATACTTACGTCCCACTCTGAGCATCAGCAACAAATAAAATATGATCACCATTTTCATGTTAATCCACTTGTAGCTGCAGCTAAATTAGAGCGTATTAGAAGATGACTCGCCTTAATGTAATCATGGAAAGTGGGAGGGAACATTTCAGAGCAATCTGATTGGCCTCTCGTTATGTTGGTATCTCACTGTATCACCACAGTGGAAATAAAATCAACCATCTTTCCAACCTGAAACAACACAACAGCACACTTTTGTTTCATGTTTCAGGGTGGGTTTCTATAACTGACACTGAGAGTAAACACAAGGTAAAGCTGGGGGGGCACTTTTCTAGAGAGGGCAATAAAAAAAAAAAAAATATTGAAAATACCTCTCCTCCTGCAGCTCTCACCTCTGTCCCACCAGACAAGTACATGCATATGCAGGTGCTTCATACTGTAACACATTGTTTCCCATACATTGATCTTTTAAATCTTATTTCATTCTCTCTGTTTCTCAGACCACAGGTGAGACAAGAATTAGCTACCACACCTCCTCCTCGCTCCCTGCAGCTGTGGACTGCTTCACCAGGGGTAGAGGGGACAGTGGCTCCAGGAACAGAGCTGCGGTGGTGAGCTGCAGCAGCTCTAATTCATCGGTCACAGCAGGCTGTTTTGCCGACGGCAGCACCAGATCTAACCTCTGTAACAGCAGCAACGGAGTCTGGAAGTCAGGTCCGTCTGGTTCCAAGTCACAGGCTGAGTTTGAGTTGCTGCAGTCGGATGTAGACACAAGATGTAGACTGCTGGTATAAGCCTGCCATTGACCCCCAGCTCAGATGGAATTGTCTTCCGCTTTTCCTTCTTGAATGGTACGGTTTTCAAAATCGCTGCAAACTAGACTCACATAGTCAGAACTATTTCCACACATCATTTTAGCACTGTGTGTGAAACTACAATAACTACCTCCAAGCTACAGTAGCAACAAGCACGGTCTCATTTCAGTTGTTGAAATCTGGCAGTTGGGCAGTGACTTGTGGTGTCAGAAACCAACGGAAAAAGCCGTCCTTTAACATCGGCATGATATGCTGCCAATGCCGTTATAGTTTAATGGTGCCCAGCAGCATCATGGGGAAATGTGCCAGGACAAGGACGAAAGTTAAGGCTGCAAAAGTCCGACAGGGGCAGGTGGAAGGGAAGGGGTGGTGGATGGGTCCAACAAACACCAACATTCACCCAAGAAAACGGTGTTCATGTCCCTTAAGGTTATAAAGCCAAACCCTGTTCTTTTTTTCTAAACCCAACCACATTCGCTTCTTTGCGGTGTAGTACCGATGTACTGCGTTTATTTTGAAAGAGACTGTATGTAAATATTAAATTTCCTGTGAAAACAGAAGTGTATTTTGAAAGAAGACAATGCATGTAACAGGCAGAACTTGACACGGTGTCCCAGAGCGTCAACAACCAACAGACCCAGGGTACCTTGCACGTCGTATGTGGACGTGGAAAGTCCATGACCAAACGTCAATATGTGACGAAGTCAGAGTGAGAATGTGCTGTAGCAACCTACACTCTGAAACATCTTCAAATGTTTTATGTTGCATTTTCTTTTGCAGGGATTTAGCCATGTTAATGCCAAGGCTCGCCTTCCTATGTGCAAATGTTCGGTCTGTAGTTATCTCCGGACACCATTTTGCGAGAGCTCTTTCTTTACATCATTGCAGTTTTAGTTGTCTTGGTCCAGACCTTTGAATCTGCCCACTTCATTGAGTCGACTGGTTTGTCTGGCATTGTGACATGAAACAGAGGTTTCTTGGTTAAAATCAATAGATCCTCCAACCATTGTAGAGGTATTAACGATCAGCCAATCAGCACCATGGGCGGGACAAATGCCATTGTCAAGCTGCTGTAATGCTGTGTGCCTGAAGCTATGAGGAGTAATACAAGAAAAGTGACCACTATAGTCAAGACAGACGCTGCTATTGCCCGATATCTTTGTTTTTACGTTGCTTCGCTCCACTCTTAAAAATCAAGTGAAATCAGTTTGTTGGCATGGCGACACATCAGTTGAGTATTGAGTAATGTTTGATTAAGGCAGATACACTGGTCAAGTGACAATTCTGTCTGATATCAGTCAAATCTTGTAGTGACAGTCAAATGATTCAACAAACATAAGATTCAGAGTTAACTTTTATCTCAATGGCCAAATATTCATGTTTAAAAAAGGCACTGACACCACTGGCCTTTAAATATATCACATGTAATTTATCTGTAAATATAAAGAACTATGTCTCTAGGCCCAATAAAAAATCCTACATTGTTGTTACCACCCAGTTAAACAGGAATTTATGGATCAGTTTAATTTGTTTGCGTATAAAAAGACGTATCCAGCCATTTGCCACAGTGACAAAGACAGAGGAGCCATCTTAAATACTGAGCAAGCCATCCAACTGAGATGCTCCACATCATCAGTGATGACCCGCCCACTCTGCCTGTCAGTCACATCAGCAGGAAGAGCACAGCGTACAGAGGAGGGCTGTTAAACCATCCATCCTCTATACTCACTTCACTTCTTTTCAGAGAGCTGCTGACAGACAGCAGCAGAGCGACACTCTCACAGTATCACAGGAACATTCACCTGGAGCTGATTTAGAGTTTCTGACCTACATGTTTTTATCTGAGGGAGAGAAGCCATGTGACCCTGGAAGAAAACCACTAATAAGATACACCAGTGATTAACAAGGTGATTAAAATGTGTAAAACAAACCATAATGTAAGGTTGACACAGTCACTATGACAGTAACAGGAACACCTGACAATATAATGCAGTCCAACACCACAAACTCTGGAATCAAAATAATGATTAAACAGAGTTCAGGTTTCCCGCCAACTTGAAAGGTGTAAGGAGAATAAAAATAGATATACAGTCAACCCATCTATCTATAGGACCAAAACTCATCACATTCGTTCGACCAGCAGGTTATGGTTTGTGCTTTTCATCACGGACAACATATTGTTGACAACGAGCCAAAACACCCTTTGCACACACAGACAAACACACGCTCACAGTTACGATAAACAAATGCTGAATGGAAACTTCAGCATAGTTGTGGTCGGGCTTCAAACTAAGGTGTCAGTACAAAGAGGCTGTTCTACCTTTCTCACTCTGTGTTTCAGCCTCAGGACGCTGGGCTTTACTGCTGCTGTCAAAAGGAAAGTTGAACAACACTATATAACTGTTATGTTTATGTGCATCTGTGAAATTGTAAGATTGCAGTTGTTGATACCATTGTTTGTATATTTAAAACCACAGGACTGTCCAGCCCGCTGCCCTAAGGGGTCAAAGCGACCCGGGTTCTCGAGTGGTAGTCTTCCTTTGTACGTCCAACCCGCTGCCCTAAGGGGTCAAAGCGACCCGAGTTCTCGAGTGGTAGTAGTAGTAGTAGTAGTAGTCCCCCTCCACCCCCTTAGTATACCCGGGTAGTTCCACCCCCCCCCATCTCACTAAAACGCCACGTGTCTCTTACTAACGGCATCCAACTGTGCGCGCGCGTCTGTGCGTGTGTGTGTGTTTTGCGCATCTGTGTGTAGTTGTGTGATGGCACAAGGATGGCGGCAAGGATGGCAGCAAGGACGACCGCCCGTTTCACAGTCCACGAGGTTCTGGAGCAGCTTGCTGACGATCCGCACCATGAACACTCGGACCCTCCCTCTGAAGCCGAAGAGGTGTCAGAGGAGGACAAGGGTGCGAGGATGAGCAACGCACCCCGACCCGCAATGCCTCGTGTTCCGAAGCAGCAGAAGGTGTAAACGACAACAAATATGACAAATACGAAGGAGAAGACGGAGACGAAGACAGAGACGAAGACGAAGAAGGAGAAGAAGAAGAAGAAGAAGAAGAAGGAGAAGGGGAAGAAGAAGAAGAAGAAGAAGAAGAAGAATGGGGTGGCGGAGGAGTACGTGGACAAGGAGCAAGAGTGCGAGGAGGCCGTGGATGCGGACAAGGTGTAAGAAGAGTGAGAGGAGGCCGAGGTGTACGAATGAGAGGAGGAGGAATAGGACGAGGACGAGGAGAAGGAGAGGACAAAACACACTTGTTTCTTTCAAAAAATGGAACTATATCATGGTCTCCGGCTCCACAATGCAGGACGCAAACATCTCGGAGCCGGGACCGCTCAGCGTCAGGTGACCCAGGGCCCACAGACCAGGCCAGGCGTGGGGCTCGAGACGTGGCGTCTACGTTCGAACTGTTTGTCATGGCAGAGTTAGAGGCGCTCATACTGGATCAGACCAATTGGGAGGGTGTCCGCGGCCGCGGAGACGAGTGGCGGGAGATGGACTCGGACCTGCGCGCATACATGGGTCTGCTGATTCTGGCGGGTGTGTACAGGTCCAGAGGCGAGGCCGCTGCCAGCCTGTGGGACGCGGATAGTGGTCGAGCCATCTTCGGAGCAACCATGTCCCTCAAAACGTTTTACACGTACTCCAGACTGATACGCTTTGACGACTGTGGGTCCAGACCAATGCGGCGTGCTGCGGACAAGTTGGCTGTGATACGAGAGGTGTGCGAGGCGTGGGCCGCGCGGTTGCCGCTCATGTACAACCCAGGGCTCGAGGTGGCAGTGGACGAGCAGCTGGTTCCGTTCAGAGGTAATGCGGCTAGGAGACACGCGTCTCCTCCTCCTCTGTTATTACTATTATTATTATCACTATTATTATTATTATTATTATGATTATTATTATTATTATCATCATATGTGTCTTTGCCCTAAGGTCGGTGTCTGTTTCGACAATACATGCCCAGCAAGCCTGCGAAATATGGGATCAAGTCCTGGGTAGCATGCGACGCTCAGTCCAGCTACGCGTGGAAGATGCAGGTGTACACAGGCAAGCCGCAGGGGGGTCACCCAGAGAAGAATCAGGGGATGCGGGTGGTGCTCGACCTCACGCGAGGACTAAGCGGGTGCAATGTTACGTGTGACAACTTCTTCACCTCGTACGACCTGGGACAGAGGCTCCTGAGGTGAGGGCTCACCATGGTGGGCACCGTTCGAAAGAACAAGCCCGAGCTCCCACCCGCGCTGCTGGCGAACAGGGAGAGGGCGGTCTTTTCCTGCAGGTTCACATTCACGCACACCACCTTGGCTGTATCATACCTACCCAAGAGGAGCAAGAACGTGGTGCTACTGAGCACGCTGCACACCGCGCCCGAGGTCAGCGATCGACCGGACGGCAAGCCCTCTGTGATCCTGTGTTACAACGCCAACAAAGGCGGCGTGGACAACCTAGATAAGGTGATTGGTACGTACAGCTGCCGGAGGATGACCGCTCGCTGGCCCATGGCCGTGTTCCACAACATGCTCGACGTGTCCTCCTACAATGCGTTTGTGATATGGAGAGAGGTCAACCCCGACTGGATGCCCGGCAAGCGGAACAGGCAGAGAGTGTTCCTGGAGGAGCTGGGCAAGGCACTTGTCACCCCGCTCATACAACGTCATAAACGCATGCCCCGCACGGAGGTGGCAGCTGCGCTCGTGAAAGCTGTTCACGTTGTTAGCGGGACACGACCCCGTGGCCCGGACGGTGATACGGAGGAGGCGGCCCCGGCGCGGCCTGAGCCCGGGCCTGAGCCTGGGCCTGCTAAGAGGAAGAGGTGTCGGTTGTGTCCACCCAGGACGGATTATAAAACGTCCACGGTGTGCTGCCGGTGTAAGACGTATGTGTGTAGACGCTGCGCTCTCACATACTGTCCCACATGCGCAGCCTAAGTGGCAGTGGATTCTAGCCACATCGCGTGATGCAACGACGGACGGATGGACGGTGTACTACACCACTCTCACATACTGTCCTGCATGCGCAGCCTAAGTGGCAGTGGGTTCTGGCCAACGTCGCGTGATGCGACGACGGACGGTGTACTACACCACTCTCACATACTGTCCCGCATGCGCAGCATAAGTGGCAGTGGGTTCTAGCCATGTCGCGTGATGCGACGACGGACGGTGTACTACATTCGGCACATGAATATGCACATAGCACAGAAGGCTAAAGGGTAGCGGGTTGGGTTGGAATGGTGTTCTACTCATCAAATGAATATATAAATAAATAAATAAATAAATAAATGAACAAATGTATCGACACATGGACTTGCATTGAGAAGTTGTTTATTACCGCACGCACACAACATATGTGTGCTATGTGCAGTACCACGCAACACCCACCCTCCCTGCAAGGACACAAACACACACACACATATATATACAGTCAGGTCCATAATTATTTGGACAATGATACAGTTGTCGTCATTTTGGCTCTGTACACCACCACAATGGGTTTTAAATGAAACAATGAATACCTGCTTAAAGTGCAGACTCTCAGCTTTCATTTAAGGCTTTTTTTCAAAAATGTAGTATGAACCGTGTAGGAATGACAACCATTTCTTCACACAGTCCCCCGACTTTAAGGGCTCATAAGTATTTGGACAAACTAACATAATCATCAATTAAACAGTCAGTTTTAATACTTGGTTGCAAATCCTTTACAGTCAATGACTGCCTGAAGTGTTGGACACATAGGCATCATCAGATGCTGGGTTTCTTCCCTGGTGATGCTCTGCCAGCCCTTTACTGCAGCCGTCTGCACTTCCTGCTTGTGTTTTGGGTGTTTTGCCCTCAGTTTTGGCTTCAGCAAGAGAAACGCATGCTCAGTTGGATTCAGGTCAGATGATATGACTTGGCCATTGCAGAACATTCCACTTCTTTGCCTTAAAAATGTCTTTGGTTGCTTTTGCAGTA